ATACCAATGTATGACATTCCCAGGCTGGCTATATTTGAAGACTTTTTATGGCCGAAATTATAAAACAAAACATTAAAACTAGTATAAATAGCTTTACACATCCTAAACAGCAATACCCAATACTGATAGAATGTTTCAAGATACTCGGCTAATCAACAAAATATATTGAACTGTAAAACTACTTACTTAGTTTTAACAGAAGATTGACTACGTGGAGGCTTGTGTTGGGATAATGCTGTTACAGTAGTTTTGAGATTGTCTCATCACACAACACATAGTTTATCCCATAATGTTAGATAATACAGCACTCATAAAGCAGCAACCCAGGATATACTTGGGTGGAAGTCCAGTCCAGTAGCACAAATGATTCCGGTGTTTGTCGTGTGATAACAGACCATCACCAAGTCAGTCCCTCCTGCCCACCCGCTACCGTACCCATCAGGCTTGCTACCTTAAAATTCACGCGTTCGACGTTTTACAATCATTAGTATAAAACAAAAACTTTCCAGTTTTATTACTAACAATTAGTACGGCTATAATCAGCATTAACTAATAATTATATTACCACAACATTGGGTATTTATATTTATCTAAGTCACACCCACCATCCGAACACAACATAAGAACATAAGAATGGAGGAAACTGCAGTGGGTCTATTGGCCCATACTTGGCAGTCCCGTTTACACCCAACCCCTATTGCTCATATAGCCATCCAACCTATGTTTGAAGCTATCCAGCGTATTCGAGTTAATGATGATATTTGGTAACTTGTTCCACTCGTCCACTACTCTTTCCAAATCAATGTTTACCTATTTCGCACCTAAATCTAAATTTGTCTAATTTAAACCATTGTTACGAGTTTGCTCCTGGTTGGATAGTTTGAATACCTTGGTAATAATTTGTAACCTACAATTTGGTATTCGACAGGTAACTCACGTGAGTCTAGGTTAATCCATGTTTCGGTGAAATGCTATTATATAGATTTTTTCAGTACATACCAATGCCCTGATTTCATCCATTTTGTTTCTCATACTTCTATAGTTTGCGTAGTAGACAGCTAAGTTAATAGTGTTCTGAGTCCTCTCTTTGTCGCGTTTAGGTTTTAACTCCCTGCCTAATTTAGTTTTGTCATAATTCCTAGCACTATTTCCTTGTAACCTTTCACTTTGTTTACCCACTCCCACTGCAGTCTCCTCCACCCCCGTGCTCGTATGTTCTCCTAGAAGTTTAATGACTTCTACATCTTTTGAACTGCCCTCTCGAGAGAGCCAGCCACGGTTGCCACCCCCATCCCTAAACAGATGCACCCCATCCCTAGTATAAAGGTCCCTTCTGCCGTAGAAGTTGTCCCAGTTGTCAATGAATGGGACTGATATTGCTTTGCAATATCTGTCAAGACGACCGTTGACAACCATTTATTGCCAACTCTCCTTCTAGGCAGGACACCAAATATGATAGGGATCCCTCCCTTCGACCTAATACATTTTATAGCTGTCTTGAACTTATCAAGAAGCTCCTCACTCCTACACAGGCCAATATCATTGCCTCCTGCACTAAAGCAAATAATGGGTTTGTTCCCATTACCAGACAAGATATTGTCCATCCTGTCAACTATATCCCCCACCCTAGCTCCTGGCAAACACACCCTCATCCTATTTTTATTTTTACCACAAAAAGCTCTGTTCAGGTACAATACCTGGGAATCGCCAACAATTAAGGTTTTCGTACCTTCCTTGTCAGCCTTGTCCCTGACTATGCTAACGTCCAATTCGTTTATCAAAGGACTGAAAGAGTTGCTACACTTAGCTGTTGTTGTCGTATGCTTGGTGTGTTTTTTCACCACCAGTTTGGTCGTCCCTCTCCTCACAACCTTCCATTCGCCTGAGCTTTCGTCAGACACGGACTTTCCTTGTCTCGTTTCTTCCTCCATCCTCGCTATCACTTTCTTTAATTCCAAGATTTCTTCCTTGGCCCTCTCTAACTCGGCCCTCTGAAGGGCACAGCCCTGTTCACCAGTAGCACTAGCCATTACTGACAATTAATACCAGGGAGCTAAGCCTGCCGTGATCTTTCCTCTAGTGAGGTCAGTACACCTCATCACCACGGGAAAACTATAAAAATTACTATATTTACCTTTTACACATAGTTTCCCATTCTTTGAACGTTAACTGGTACACTACAAAACTACATGTAATTATAATCCCAGCTATAGTTTTTATTTTGGCAGGAAGCATTCAACGTAATGGTTGTTTGTCGTAATTCGCGATAATGTTCTCCGATAGTTAACTCGGTAAAAATTTGAAACTACACGCATGAAACCGTCCACCTGTCTTAATGACCCTCTTCCCGGGATCAATGGCCCTGTCTGACCTTATTTCACGACATGGTTTTAAAAAAGGATGATGATGTGAGGTGTGTTATCCCGTGTTTTTGGGGAGGTAAATTACGGGTATTGGGATAATTACCAGGACGTAAGTGAGTGAGGGTAAAGGTGAGTGTTCTGTTGGTGGTGGTGGTGGGTGATGGTGGGTGGTAGTGGTGGTGGTGGTGGTGGTGGTGTGGGGTGTGATGGTGGGTGGTGGGTGGTGGTGGGGTGGGGGGTGATGGTGGGTGATGGTGGTGGTGGTGGTGGTGGTGGTGGTGGTGGTGGTGGTGGTGGTGGTGGTGGTGGGGGTGGTGGTGGGTGGTGGTGGGTGTGTGGTGGGTGGGGGTGGTGGTGGGTGGTGGTGGTGGTGGTGGGTGGTGGTGGTGGTGGTGGTGGTGGTGGTGGTGGTGGTGGTGGTGGTGGTGGGTGGGGTGGTGGTGGTGGTGGTGGTGGGTGGTGGTGGTGGTGGGTGGTGGGTGGTGGGTGGTGGTGGTGGTGGTGGGTGGTGGTGGGTGGTGGTGGGTGGGGGGTGAGTGGTGTGGTGGTGGGTGGTGGTAGTGGAGTGGTGGTGGTGTGGTGGTAGTGGTGGTGGTGGTGGTGGGTGGTGGTGGTGGTGGTGGTGGTGATGGTGGGTGGTGGTGGTGGTGGTGATGGTAGTGATGGTGGTGGGTGGTGGTGGTGGTGATGGTGTGGTGGTAGTGATGGTGGGCGGTGGTGGTGATGGTGGGGTGGTGGTGGTGGTGGTGGTGGTGGTGGTGGTGGTGGTGGTGGTGGTGGTGGTGGTGGGTGGTGGTAGTGTGGTGGGTGGTGGATGGTGGGTGGTGGTGGTGTGATGGTGGGTGGTGTTGGGTGATGGTGGTGGTGGTGGTGGTGGGTGGTGGTAGTGGTGGTTGGTGGTGGTGGTGGTGGTGGTGGTGGTGGTGTGTGGTGGGTGGGGTAGTGATGGTGGGTGGTGGGTGGTGGTGGTGGTGGTGGTGGTGGTGGGTGGTGGTGGTTGTGTGTTATGAGACCTGGGCAGATATATTGGCTGTTACTACGTGTGGCATCGAATATATCTTGTTGATGATATCATGAACTGTTTCTTACTCTCTCTCATTTTCTCTTCTTTCTCTCTCTTCTTTACTCCTTTCTTCTTTCTCTTCTCCCACCTCTCTCTCTCTCGGTAAAAACAAGGCCAATCCAAATGATGCGACACACACACACACACACACACACACACACACACACACACACCTCATTGCACCACCGCCTGGCAATATGATCATCCATACCTCAGTCCTACTTCACATTACACCACCATGACGATACAATTGGCTCCACCACCACGGCACCTCACCACGGTCACTCACCAGACGACCCTGTGGTGGTTGTGGTGGTAGTGTGGTGGTGACTGTGGTAGTGACTGTAGTGGTGGCTGTGGTGGTGACTGTGGTGGTGAGTGGTGGTGACTGTGGTGGTGATTGTGGTGGTGGTTGTGGTGGTGACTGTGGTGGTGGTGAGTGGTGGTGACTGTGGTGGTGATTGTGGTGGTGGCTGTGGTGGCGGTGGTGACTGTGTGGGCTATGGTGGTGAGGTGGTGGTGACTGGTGGTGACTGTGGTGGTAACTATGGTGGTGAGTGGTGGTGACTGTGGTGGTGAGTGTAGTGGTAACTATGGTGGTGACTGTGGTGATGACTGTGGTGGTGGCTGTGGTGGTAATCAAGATAACAGCTCAAGCTCCTCTCTCCTGCCCGCCGCCACCTTCTACAGTAAGTGTACCCGAGGGGACGACCTACCGCCAACAGGGTCGATGTTCTGGAGGTTAAGTGCCTACGGACGGGGGTTAAGGACCTACGGACGGGGGTTAAGGACCTACGGACGGATGTTAAGGGCCTACGGACGGATGTTAAGGGCCTACAGACGGATGTTAGGGACCTACGGACGGATGTTAGGGGTCTACGGACGGGGGTTAAGAACACACACACACACACACACGACGGCACAACTAAAAATATATATAATTTTCCCTCAGTTCTGTCTTTTCATTATACGTCTGCCTGTCATTTTGTCCGTTTCTATATATCCATCTGTCTGTCAGTCTGTCAGGATAGTATAGCTATCTGTCTTTTTCAGTACTTTACCTGTCTGTCTCCATCTTTCTGTAATTTCCATTTATCCGACTGTCACTTCCTCCCTCTGTCCCTCACTTCCTGTTTGTGTCTCCCTGTTTGTCTGTCTGTCCGTCCGTTTCCCTGCTGCTTATCTGTTCGTCTGTTTCCCTGTTGCCTAGATTTGTTTCCCCGTCTGTTTGTCTGTCTATCTGTTTCCCCCGGTCTGTCTGTCTGCATATCCCTGTCTGTTTGTTTCCTTGTCTGAGTCTCCCAGCCAGCAGGGAACTAACACAGGCGCCGAGGGAAGGAAATATTCATAACGGGAGCTAGGCACTAAATTCCCAGGTAGAGGAAAAAATGCTGGCACTCACTCACCTGACTCAGGCACCTGCTGGCACTATCATGTGACGGAAAGAGTCAAGTACACCTCTGAGCTCCTGTATAACACTAATGAGTTACCTCCAATGTGGCACTGTTACTGGTTGTGTGATACTCTGGCACTATATATTACCTGACCTGACCTTGACCTCACAGGGTACTCACTTGGGTAGAGGCTCCCTGGTGTTATTAAGAACCTGGTGTTCCTCAGGGGGAGGTTCTTTGGGTTGCTGGTCTGTACTGAGCCAGATCTGAAGACGCGGCACCTGAGAGATGGGAAACAAGACCAAAACATTACAAAAATAATCTATCCAATTGTTGTCTTCTTTAGTTATCAATCTCTTTGTCTTCACTCCCATACCTCTGATGGATGAGGGGTTGAAGACACAACACCAAAGGAAGTGGAAGAAAATGGTGAGTAACAACAGCAGACAAACTCAAACAATATACGCCCTTTAAAATTCCACCTGTCAATACGTATTCAGAAAAATCCGCCTGTCAATCCGGATTTACGCGACAGAAACGCCCCGTAGAGTCAGGTGGAAGAGGACGTGGGTGTCTGGAGACGACTTTAATTTACCTTTATTACCCGAGAGCACGCGAGGGGATGCTCCACCTGTCTCCTGAATAGAGTGGGGGTGAGGAATAGACCTACAAGTTAGCACACACACACACACACAAAACACACACACACACAAACACACACACACACACACAAACACACACACACACACACACACACCTAGTGATTTAAGTTCACATGTTTAAAACAAGTTTATACAACCCTGCACAAGGTTACACACACCTGTACAACAACACACAACCCTGCACAAAGTTACACACACCTGTACAACAACACACAACCCTGCACAAAGTTACACACACCTGTACAACAAGTTCATTTACTGCAGAGTTCTCAGTGACTGACACGACGTCAGTGACTTAAAATTTTACTCAGCGAGACACGACAGGATGGAAGCATTCTGGATGGGCTTGAGGTAAGGGGTGGGGTGAGGGGGAGAGAAGGGTGGGGTGAGGGGGAGAAGGATGGGTAGGGAGAGAAGGATGGGGTGAAGGGAGAGAAGGGGTGAGGGGAGAGAAGGATGGGTGAAGGGGGAGAGAAGGATGGGTGAGGGGGGAGAGAAGGATGGGTGAGGGAGGGAGAAGGATGGGGGAGAGGGGGAGAGAAGGATGATGAGGGGAGATGGGTGAGGGGGGAGAGAAGGATGGGTGAGGGGAGAGAAGGATGGGTGGAGGGGGAGAGAAGATGGGTGAAGGGGAGAAGGATGGGTGAGGGGAGAGAAGGATGGGTGAGGGGGAGAGAAGGATGTTAGGAGAGAAGGATGGGTGAGGGGAGAGAAGGATGGGTGAGGGGAGAGAAGGATGGGTGAGGGGAGAAGGATGGGTGGGAGGGGAGAGAAGGATGGGTGAGGGGAGAGAAGGATGGGTGAGGGGGAGAGAAGGATGGGTGAGGGGGAGAGAGGAAAACAATAATGAAGGAAGATAAACAAAGAGAAAATATGATAAAGGCAGAAATTGGGAGAGAAGTGAATTACTGGGCCGAAGGAGTGGACGGTCTAGCCTTGTCGATAAGAGTATTAATCTCGTTGGTAGTTTACATGCATAGCGAACGACGGACCCAACATACACACACACACATACACACACACACACACACACACACACGCACAAATTCCCCTACCAAAGTTAGACTGGGGTGGGGGGTTAGACGACATCCAATACCAACAACCACCACTAACCACTACCAACAACCACCACTAAACCGCCACTACCAACAACCACCACTAACCACTCACCAACAATAACCACTAACTACTACCAACAACCACCACTAACCACTTATCAACAACCACCACTAACCACTACCAACAACCACCACTAACCACTACCAACAAACCACCACTAACTACCACCAACAACCACCACTAACCATCACCAACAACCACCACTGACTTCACTACCAACAAATCCATCCACTGACCTCACTACCAACAAACCACCACTAACCACTACCACAAACCACCACTAACCACTACCAACAACCACCACTAACCACTACCAACAACCACCACTAACCACTACCACCAACAACCACCACTAACCACTACTACCAACAACCACCACTCAACCACTATACCAACAACAACCGACTACTCAACTACTACCAACAACCACCACTAACCACTCGAGCCAACAACCACCACTAACTTTCACTCATTAACAAACCACCACTAACTACTATCAACAAATCACCACTAACCACTAGCCAACAACCACTACTAACCACTACAACAACCACCACTAACCACTAGACAACAACCACCACTAACTACTATTAACAAATCACCACTAACCATCACAACAACCACCACGCTAACCACTATTAACAAATCATTCACTAACCACACACCATTCATCATAATCACCACCATCCACTTCAATCCACCTCCAACAGAACACAGAAATACCTTTATACAAAAAACCAAAAAAATAACTTACATTTCCATAAACGACATTTCCAATCAGTTTGTTTACACTGAGATGCAACAACCCTAGTGTACGATAATTCCTGTTTGTATCTTTCTCTCACTCGTGTCCTGACAGTCCTGGATATATAAAAACAAAACAAATCTTACCAGGAAGTTTCTTGTCGTCTACCTCTCTTAAATGGGGAGTTTAATCTGTAGTTCACTGATAATTTAACACAAGAAAATCCATTGTGAATCTTTTTTTAGTGTCCTTTTGAAACTGTAACTGGCAACATTATCGTATATCTGAAGCAATGTACACCACTGCCAGACGTGTTTCCCCGATGACCCCCCCCCCCCCCCCCCTGGTGGCCTCCCCTTCATGCACCATTTATCTGTCTCACTCGTCTGTCATTTTTTCATCATTCTTCCTTCCTTTGTCTTTTTATTTCTCTTCGGTCTCTCTCTCTCTCTGACTTTCGTTACTAACTCACATTATACTTTACTGACTGACGTTACGATGAGTTATTCGGTAACGTGAGTCAGTAGTGTAAGTCAGTGGTTTGAGTCAGTGAATGAGTCCGTAAGAGTCACATTACCTGCAGGCTCCAGTATATAACTTGGTATCATCTCAGATTATAGTGGAAAACTCTGTAAATTTTCCGTAATTAAATAAACCTGGTGAGAAGAAGAGGGAAAAAGGGGGAGGAGGGGAAGAGGGAAGAGAGACAATGAGGAGGAGGAGGAGGGGAAGAGGAAAGAAAGACAAGGAGAAGGAGGAGAAAGAGGGTTGACGTATATAGGGTACAATTAAAGATACTTGCTGGGGGGAGTCTAAAAAAGTGATGCCAATAGATTAATGAAGAACAGAAGAGATTAATGATGGAAAAATGGAGAAAAAATACAATGAAGAATAAAGGAGATGATAATGATGAGAGGGGGAGGAGAAGGGGGCGAACGACCTTGAAAGAGACATTATCAAGGTCAGGGTAGGTACTGGCCATGAACTACCTGCTCTCCTTCCCTCCCTGCTTACTGACTCTGGCAGCTGGAGCGTCTTCAAGCAGTAAAGAGGAAGACGAAACAGGAAGAAGAAGAAGCAAGAAGTAGTAATAGAAAAAGAAACAAGAGATAAGAAAGAAGAAGCCAAGAGATAAGAAAGAAGAAGCCACTAGCGATGAAAGAAACAACAAGAAGGAAGAGTTACTCACCCTGACCAGCTTACGTTCGTCCCTGCGAAGTCTCTCTGGCAGTTCGAGAGTCTTGTTGTGTAAGGTGTTCCAGAAGTTGGATCTCTTGAGGCTAAGACTCAATCCCCTCCGGCCCTTGTCACTCTTCTTCGTCTCCTTCTTCTCCACCGCTCCTCCCTTCTTGGTGAACTTGTCCGTCTCTTTGTTGACAAGTTTATCTTTGGTCGAGTCCTTGAGTTTGTTCTTCTCCGTGTGGTCTGTGACGTTCCTCTTGCCGGAATCCATGTTGGTGGTCTTGGAGCGGGCCAGGTCATTGTAGTGCTGGACCTGCGTCAGCTCGCAAGACCCTGCCCCCTCCGAGGTCAGGTCGTTGAAGATCTTGGTGGTGGTCGCCGTGGTGTTGGTAATGGTGGAGGGACCTGGCTGGTGAGGCTACTAGGGCAATATTGATGATGAAAAGGTGCCCTGGTAGCTGATGGTTGGTGCAGGTGGTGGTGGTGCTAGCAGTGGTAGTGGTGGTGGGGCAGGTGGTAGTGGTGGTGGCTGTAATAGTAGGGGCACTGACTGACGGTGATGTTGGTGGGGAAATCTGACTTACGTCTGATGTTGGTGAAGGTAATGGCCAAATTTTGTGGCGATGGCCGATTCTGGTAGTATTGGTAGTAGTGGTGGTGGTGGTAGTGTGGTGGTGGTGAGGGTGGTGGATGACTGTAGTGTGTGTGGTGGAGGGTGGTGGATGACTGTGGTGTAGTGGTGTGGTGGTGGTGAGGGGTGGTGGATGACTGGTAGTAGTAGTAGTGGTGGTGGTGGAGGTGGTGGATGACTGGTAGTAGTGGTGGTGGTGGTGGTGGGTGAGGTGGTGGTGGTGAGGGTGGTGGATGACTGGTAGTAGTAGTAGTGGTGGTGGTGGTGGGTGGTGTGGTGAGGGTGGTGGAGACTGGTAGTAGTAGTGGTGGTGGTAGTAGTAGTGGGTGGGGGGTGGTGGTGGTGAGTGGTGGTGGTGGTGGTGGTGGTGGTGAGGCCAGACTGACTCTTATGGTGGTGGTGATACTGTTTAAAATAGTGAATGATTCTGGTAGTGTTGGAAGTGGGAGACTAGGTTAATTGAGGGATTGGTTGATTCTTGTGGTAGTGGTGAAGGTGAATGATTGATTGTGATGGGTAGTGGTGGCGGTAGTGGTGAGTGTAGTGAATGGTGATGATGAGGGTAATTATTGGTGGTAGTGATGGTAAGTGATGATAATAACAAAACTCTTGACAGTTAAGTGGTGGCAGGAGCACAGGGCTGAACCTATTACCAACAGTCCTGCCCCTCACTTCACCCTCCAGTCACCAGTCACTGCACTAACTGGCTCGCCCACACTCACACACTGTCACTAACTGGACACCTCATAACGCCGCTCCAGTCTCGATATTTGAGTGTGTGGGTTGGGGTAGGACGTCTGTGTGTCATGAACCAGAATATAACACTAGTGGGGGCCTCTTGACACAGCCACGCCTCCCAGCCCACGACCTGTCTGGGAGATAAAAGAAACATGTCAAGACTACTCCCACAACTCTCACCGCAATATTTTATACAGGAAAAAAATATATAAAAATACAGGAATAACAAAACTTAATACAGAAAAACTTACAAACACAAAAAGCAAATAAACACAAACACTTATACTAATACCCATCTACACTACTGTTGGCTAGTACCCACACGCCCCGACAGGGAAAAAGATAAGTACCACGTGAAGGACGAGCATCGCATATGTCAGGCCTGAGGTGGCAATACTAGGTCGTGTTGCCAGATAAGCATTTACCTCCTGTGGACGACTCTGGCTAAATACGTGACCCGGGAACAGATGCTCAGAGGTTCCCGATAAATTTGCCTTTGAGTGGGGACGTGAGAACGCATCTAACTGACTGTACTCAAGGGATCATGTGAAGATGAGGCACCGGTTACTTCACTCAAGATTAACCTAACCTCCCTATCCTACCCTACTACCTCCTAAACCAACTTAGCTAACTTATCCTATCCTGTTCTACCCTAACATAAAAACTAAGCTATCCTAAGGGTGAGGTGGTAAGCTTCCAACCTCACGTAATATCATTCAGAATGACCGGGGTGTTGGGAGAGAGGGGAAGGAGGAAGGAGGAGGAAGAGAAGGAAAGGAGAGAGAAGGAAGGAAAATTCTCCAAGCTACGTACGTTAAATATCTTTCTAATTGAAAACCTCGAGACACGACGCACCTGCTTGTCTCACCTTACGAGAAATTCTAAAGACAATCGTAACATCAAATACATCTCTATAACTGGAAACTTTAAGACTCGGCTAATTGCTACACCCGAAACTTCAGAATCTCCTAATTCAAATTCTCTCTTGGTGACGAACTTTAACGACACATATATGCCGGATAAATGGCATAGAGACTGTATGAACGTATAGACAGTTTGAGAATGTGGGTCTGGGGGGGACTGATATAATAGCCATTTGTATGTTGTCGCGTATCTCGTTCTCCACCACCACACGCTCCACTCTTATCTGCCCAGACACAACCAACATATATACAAGTACCACACACACACACACACACACACACACACACACACACACACACACACTTATACGACACCCTAACTAACCCATAAGCGACTCACCCTTGAAACTCGTGAATGAGAGAACTGTCGAGTCAACATCCAGCCATTAGTAAATTCTACACGAGCTGTTTCTTCTCTCTGTGATTGGTTAGTTTTAATGTGCCACTGCTGTGATGTCCTATCGGCGATGACGTATTGTTTACATACATCAGCTGTTTTCGTTGTTTTTAATTGGTTAGTCTAATCAAGGATGGATATTATCTTACAAGAGAGAGAAATATTATCTTACGAGAGCGAGGAATATTACCTACATTAGAGACAGGAATATTACCTAACATTAGAGAGAGAATATTATCTTAAAATAGAGCGAGAAATATTTCCTTACAATATTACAAGGAATATTACCACTTACATAGAGAGAGAATATTATCTTAAAATAGAGCGAGAAATATTTCTACAATATCTTCCTAGAGGTAAATTAGCTACAACATAGCGAGGAACATTGGAATCCACCTGTTGTCAGAAAAATATTTGAGCAATACCAGTATCAGCTGACCCCCGTCCTCCCTCATTCTAAATTTCATCGCCACGTCACCACCCTCCCCGTCCACATCACCTCCTCTCACCCAAGTAACCCTCCTCCTCACGCCTCGTCACTCTTCCTCTCACCCAAAGTCACCTCCTCCCCCACACCTCCCCTCCTGCCCCCCCCCACCCTCCTCCTCCCGCCCACGTCACCCTCCTCCCTCACGCCTCCCATCCTCCCGTCCACGTCACCCTCCTCCTCCCGTCCACGTCACCCTCCTCCTCCCGCCCAAGTCACCCTCCTCCTCCTGCCCACGTCACCCTCCTGCTCCCCCCACCACCCACTTCCTCTTCCTACACTACTCTTAGGGTCTCACCTTCTCTATTACAACAGAAAGAAAGAAAGAAAGAAAAAGAAAGAGGAATAAAGAAAAAGAAAGAAAGAACGAAAGAAAGAAAGAAAAATAAAGAAAGAAAAATAAAGAAAGAAAGAAAGAAAAAAAGAAAGAAAAAAGAAAGAAAAGAAGAAAGAAAGAAAGAACGAAAGAAAGAAAAAAAATGAAATATATGACAAGACCTATATCAGTTACTCACCCCAATATTATCACCACCAATACGTCTGTCCCTCAGTACGTACCGAGTAAACACCACTTTCATCAGCCATTATATACGTTTTCTGTGAGCGTTTTAGCCTCGTTTTCTCTCTCTGTCATAACAACCAAAAATCACAATAATAATAATAATAGTAATAATAATAATAATAATTCAGGTGGTATTTATTTTAACCTCAAGGTATACGATTAAATGGCACTTGGAGACCATTTTCATTTTTTCGTCCTACTTTGATGAATTAAGCTAATTTAAGTTAATCTAACTTAACCTTACCTAATCAAACCCAACTCCACCCAAACCTAATCTAACCCAAGGAAACTTAACCAAGCCTTCTGTATGGTATGGCACTATACACACTTCCTGATATAAATATAGAGAATCAACACAAGCACCAACTTGTCGTATGTTTAGTTGTGTTCCTCAGCATCACTATCGTGTACCTGACCACTGTTTCGACCCCTCACACGAAGCAGTCAACAAATATGACAATAATGCATGGTCATTCCCCTCCCTCACCCTTGACCATAAATACTTCAAACCAGAGTCGAACCAGTGAATCATTTCCATTCTGTTCATCACTTCAATCATATACAGGTAAATATATAAACAGGAATCATATATACTGACAGGAGTGACGCAGAACATAATTACATATATAAACTGAAAGTAATAATATTGATTCATGTGTAAATATCAATGAAGTATGAAAAATCTCTTCGATGCGGAGCTGAAGCCATGAAACAGACTGTTCGGACATGAAGTAGAATATTGGGTCTGTGTGATGAGTTTCCAGTGGGCGAGCTCGCATTTATTGAACATAACTGAAGCTATTTTATCTATTCAACCAGGCCATGAACGTAACTGTCTGATGGCTGTCGATTATGTAAACTAAAATTGCATTCCTTAAATATTATTGAATTTGCTTTGATGGAGGTTGAGAACAGCGGTCGGGCAGAAGAGATTGTTTTAAAATATATGTAAACGCGATATGCATTTTCTGGTTGTTTATGAGACAGTTTCGTGTAAAGTTTGGAACACAGAAGTGATGCACAAAAACAAGGATTGAACCCTTAAACGAGTCTTATAAATTACCGAAATAAACAAAAGAATCACTTGAAGCTTAGCCCCTTAGATTAATTCACCTCAGATTAACCACCCTAACTTAACCCAACTGACTAGGAAGCATTAGGGTGTCCCCAGTGCCACTCTTTGGACACATTACCATAGTAAATCAGCTGAAGTTCGACCTGATTTGAAGTGAAGTTTATCTGAGGTAAGAGTTCACTCCTTTCCCTTTGTGTGTGTGTGTGTGTGTGTGTGTATATATATATGTGTGTGTGTGTGTGTATATATATATATGTGTGTGTGTGTGTGTGTGTGTGTGTGTGTGTATATATATATGTGTGTGTGTGTGTGTATATACATATATATATATATATATATATATATATATATATATATATATATATATATATATATATATATATATATATATATATGTATATATATATATATATATATATATATATATATATATATATATATATATATGTGTGTGTGTGTGTGTGTGTGTTCAGATTTGGTACCACGCAGGGAGGCTAGTTATTGGGCACCCTCTTGCAACCTGTGCTGACGAGGCGGCCAACAGGGATGTGTGCCTCTACAAGGCCTGGGGGTGTCATAGGCAGTAATAACTCACTTTGTGTTGACAGAGCGACTTAACCACACCATCATCTGCTTCCCCAACCATCTGTTTACTCTCCCCTCGTACTCTCTTCCTTCTCTCCCTCTTCCCTCTTCTCTCCCTCTTTTTCAGCCTTGTTTCCTCCCTGCCCCTCCCTCCCATTTGTTTCCCTTCTCTTCATCTCCCCACTATCTCTTTTTCTCTCCCCACCACCTCGCCTCCTCTCCACCCCCGGCCCCTTCCTTCTTCTCCTCGACCCTCACCTTCTTC